TCGAGCAGACTAAAGACACAACTTAGCTCCTTGAAATCTTTGTTCGAAAAAGAAAGAGATGGCATCTAAGAATTTAAAATGGCTGAGAAAGCCACTAGGGAGACATTCTCAACTTTCAAATGGTTATTCATGTCATATATAGAAGTAAGTGTATATAAGAGAGCATTTCCAAAAATGGAAAGAGGTGGGTGAGGTGACACTGTGTTTGATTTATTACATGAGCAATATCTTAGCAAATAGAAAAGATAAGAGGTTCTTATTTTGTATTCTAGCTTGTCAATATTGATAACTTGAGATCCTAATTCATATGAAACTATAGACTTAGTATTTTGACATCACAAACATCTAATGTGAACCAGTGCTGCATTCAACATACCATGTGACACACAAAAATTGATGTTTAACTGTGTTTTTTAATGTATAATACTAAAACTTGAATTTAATCTACAGTTTTATACCAAACATATTAACATAAATTTATGAAATAGTAATTCAATAAAATTTTGAAAGCGAGTCAACAAACACGATGACATGACCTGTGACCAGCATAGAAAAGGTTAATTAGACTGCAAGTGGTTGGTTGGAAAAAAGCAAAAGGTTGTTAATGGAGTCTAGGTAAAATGGACTCTTGTTACAACACTGCTTCAACATTTGCTTTTCCTTATTTACATTAATACTATTAATAGAGACATAATCAGTATACAAAATTTGGTGATAGCATTAACATCTTGGATTTTTCTAGCTGTATCGCAGATGTTGAAGTGTTACAGGTTTGGATCAATTAGACAAATATTTGGTAAATGACTTTTAATTATAGTGAGTGCAAGGTAATGTATAGAAGATACCAAAATCTGAATTACAAGCTTCATAAAGATTGGAACCCATTCAATAGCATGACTGAAGAAAAGAATCTTAGCATAGTAGTTGATAAGTCATTCAAACCATGAAAAAGTGCTTTATTGTTAATATTAAAGCTAATAAAACTAAGCATAAGCCAATCACCCTGTTGTACAAATAAAACTGTCTTAATTGGAGTTTAGCCTATATTTTCCAAATCTTAAACTTGTGCCCTCTTATCCTGTCTTCAGAATACTACACAAAAAAACTATTTGTTGGCATTTATCTGATAAATCCCCCCATATATCTAGTGAACTGTAATAAAACTACCTACTACTCTTCTTCTTTTAAGAGAAAATAAGTTATTCTAATCTATACCTTTAACCAAATGTGCACAGGCTTGGTTCATTGGGATGGCCATATAAAGAAGAAATAATGACTATAATTCTGAATTTACTGTGAGCATCTAAACAAAATGTGACAATATTTTTATTCAAATGTACAAATATATTTTATGCAAAAAAATAATAATTAATGAATCAAAGGTATCTGTTCTCAAGATATGTCCATGAATTGATAACATCTGACTAAGACTCCAACAAGTTGGAGTGAAAGGTGGTGTTCATGTGAAGAATAAAGATTCATTTTTTCATTGTATAGTTTGCTTATTATATTTGCATAATCTCTAGAACCTCTAAAATCCATACTTACATCTTTTTTTTGGTATCTTATACCTGCATATTGTATGTGGAATCTACTCTCCTCCACCACAAACTGTTGCTAAATCAGCAATGTAGGGAAATATTAGTTGATAACATGAACATCAAATACATAACACCATGTTGAATGGCACTCTGTAAAAGGTCGTAGACTGTACATTTCAACAAAGGATTAAGATAAACTTTTCATTTCCAGAATTATCTTAGTAATAGTAAACCTATTTTTAATCCATTGCAAATAAGTCAGTATCATTTTTCAAAAAAAAAGACCAACAGCATTAGTAAACAATATTTCAAGTGAGACTTATCTTATAATTTGTAGGTATAATTAACCCTTTTGACTGTTAATATATTAATAAATATATTTTGAAAAAATTACATGTAAACTACCTTATGTAAAAAATAAACTTAACATTGTCTTAGCCTGGGGTTAGGTCATGGCTACTGTACAATACTGAGTACTGTTGAATAACACATCACTCGAAAACTACATTTTTACAAATCTAATTTTCTTGCGATTGTAATATTCAACTTTGTTCTACAATGACTGTAAGTGTAACTTATATTTATAAGTTCTCTCCCTCAATTTCAACCAAGTGATTTTTTATTATTATTTGTAACACCAGTACTAGTAGTAGCAATGCTGCTAGTAGTAATACTAACTATAGTATTATTATTACTAGTATTATAATTAATATTATTAACATGATTCGCATAAAATCACACTAACCTTTCAAGTATGTATCGTACAAAAATAAGAACTACAGCCACAAGCAAACCATTGTATAATTCACTAAACTGAGCATATCTTGCTTTTTCCTGACGCCTTATTATTTCCCAAGTCATGTTTTTAGGTAACCAAACATCTTCATTCCAAAACCAATTATTCAACCGACTAATTAAACCTTCCTCCATTTTGAAAGACAGTAGAAGATCTCGCCCTCCCTCGAGAGTTCGGTCGAATCACGTGCCATAACAAATTTTTTACCTGTCTGAACTACTGCACATTATGAGTAATAGCTTTTTTAAACGTTTCTGATTTGTTTTATTTTTAATAAATATAAAATATTTTACTACATTTCCCTTTTTAATGGAAATATATTAATCAAAAAGCAAATTACAAGTCTATAATACCTCTAAGTGATTCTTTTGGTTTTCTTTTCCTTCTACTAATTTAATAAAAAACATAAATCAAATATCAAATTCGATGACAAGGAACTCACTTTGATACTAATAACGGTTGGAGACAGCTTGAATGGGTAATGAAGAAAAACTTTAATATAATGATGATGACAAAATCTTGTCGAAACGTTGTACATTTGCTGTTATGTTAAACTTATATTAAAGTTTTTCTTCATTACCCATTCCAGCCGTCTCCAACCATTGTAGATCAAATATGTGTAACAATACATGGACAACCAGGGATTATTTAGTCTTTCAAGGCTGTTTTTATACACCCGCCCTTGAAAAAAAATTAAAAGTTAATCCCATCGATTAATTCTCAGGAAATTATTTATTCATTTTTCAAACCCTTGTAAAGCGCCGGCCTTCACTGCTCCTAACGGTAACTCATTCTATAAGCTTATCATCCTGTTAGAAAAATAAACCCTTTATTTTTCAAAAAAAATTTTGATTCTTCTTTTAACACTTGTAAAAAGCTGGTTTCCACTACAGCCTACAGAAATTTATCCTTTAACCTCATCACCTGATATAAAAGTACAACTGTCTTAAATGAGTCTACCCCATATTTTCCAAATATAACATTGTTTCCTCTCATGCTATTACCTTCAGAATACAGCACAAAAAACCAGAGACATTTATCCTATCGATCCCTGGAAAATTTTAGAAACTTCACACTTTCACACTAAGAGCACACTTTACCCCTCTTAATAAACACAAAAAAAATTGCTCCTACCTTCTGTATATACTCATCATGTGGAAAGCAAATGTTACTCTAATTTAAAATGTACTATAAAGTATACAAAACACGTTACATATATTTAAATATATTCAAAATATATGTATACACACCACATAAAGTGCTCCAAGCTTCTCTACACTTACCTTAACTTCATCAGCAGAGCTTTCATTGTCATTACCATATTTTGATGGGCAGCTGTGGATGCTTTGCGGCCTGCTTATGCCAACGTCAGGTTTTGCTCAGCTTCAGCTAGTCTATCCTGTAGGCACAAGATCTACTCTTTCTGTCTTGACGGAGAAGTGGCCCTTTGCCTCAACCAATTTTCTTTCCAGTTGTAGATAGACTAGGCCTCTCTCCACTCGGTTGTCATCTCTTGACAATGATGCTTGAACACTGTGATCTGTTCTAATATGGGCTAGTAGCTTGGTAGGAAGTTCTAGTTTAGGTCCCTTCTGGGAGGTTTCTGATGATGCCTCAGAAGCTACTTTGGCATATGGCCTTAGTGATCTTCCAGCAGAGCCAGCTGTCATTAACAGCAAAAACCATTGGAGAAACTGTCTGATTCATCTGCACTGCTGATGCCATGGTCTTCATAGCCAACATTAAATTCTTGCGGGAAACAGCCTCATATCTATGTTCTTGGGACTTGAATGTCCCTCGAGATGCACCTAGTGCAAAATTATTATATTTTACTTTGGAATATAGTGGTCCTGTTAGAGTTGTAAGCAAATCTGTCATCTACTCCACGTGGTAGTAACACACCAATTGATCCTCAGCCTTCACTTCTTTGGGTGTCATCAACTATGGTTCTGACTCCTGCTGTTGGTCTGCTCTGGGGCTAGGATTCTCCAGCTGGGATGGTGTATAGTCCAATGTGATGCTGTGGACCCTAACATTATTCCCAATGATACCAGGGCCTTCATCAGTTGTCAAAGACAGATTGGCTCTCAGAGACATCAGTGCCAATTCATTAACTTATTTGATGAGCTCTCCCAAGTTGGATGCATCAACATGCAGCACATCTTCATCCATTGGCTCACTAATGGTAACTATCAGTTTGGTACTCTTCACGTCCATGATGACTTCATGCACCTAACCATATTTGGGTATTCTGGAGCAGTTGTGAGGCTTCAAAGGGTGATGAGGAATCCATAGCTTTGACAAAAAACAAAATAAAGTTTCATAAACAGGATTCACTGGAATAAGACAGAAAAAAACATTGGTTAGTCAATGAAAATGAGGCTGAGCGTAACTAAAACTTAACCTTAAGTACTGAAAGTCTGGATTTAAATGTAAAGGTTGGGTGAGTTCTAATTAGTCAAAGGTTCAGTGCATAGATTTAGGAAGGTCAAGTGAACGCGCCTGTAAGCGTAACATCCCATCCTTGTCCTTAAAACATGTGTCAACAGAATCTGAGGAATTCCCGACACCAAGTTGGCCCTCTGTTGTCCCTGATAGATAATGGCAATACACTCGCCAAACTCTTCATCATTGACTCATTTATAGCCTACTGTATGATTGTCACACAAACTTAGCTTGGCTCCAGTAGGAAGTAATGGAGGGAATGAGACTGCACAGATCCTACACAGTCAAGCACACTTGAGTTAGGCAGTGCCAATCTCACCTTTGATCATTAGCCCTTGACAGTGCTTTCATTCTCTTTGCTTAGAGATTTTCTTCCATTTACAAATTATGTAATAGTTTTACCGTAAATTACAAGGTCTGAATAGCACCATCTGTCTTCCCCTATTATAATTACAGCTTGCATTTTCATGCTTCAAACCTGTATTTTGTAACGAAAGAACGGTAAGAATATACTCAGTAAAACTGTTTGCTTATTTAAAATATTCCAGTCTGCATGGCTGAAAATATTCCTATCACAACAAAGTAAAACATTGGGTGCAGTATGTGTATCTATACACAGCGTGGTCACAAGTAAATAGACACCACCTTTTCATAAAAAAATGAAAAATTTCAGTCATATTCACATGATTTGATTTATCCATAATTTAATTAATATATAGTAGATCTTCCTTTCGCTTCTTGTATTTCGTTCTTTTGGGGCATCGTGAGAATCATCTCGTCAATTTTAGATAGTGAGATTTTCGCCCACTCTTGCTTCAAAACTTGGAGTAGATCGCTCTTCGAAGTTGTTTTTTTTGTTGTTTTTTGACTTGCCGGTCGAGTATGACCCAAAGGTTTTCGATGGGGTTCATGTCAGG